CTTAATGACTGTAGTTTTGTAGTGAGTTTTGAAATTAGGAAGTATAAGTTCTTCAAATTTGCTCTTCTGTTTTTAAGAATGTTTTGACTATTGTGGGTCCCTTGCAATTTCATATCAAATTTAGAATCAGCTTTTCAAAATCTGCACCAAAAAAAAAAAAAGTTGGCTGGAATTTTTACATGAATTGTATTGAATCTTTAGATTAATTTAGGAAGTAGTACCATCTAAACAATATTAAATCTTCTAATCCATGAACATGGATGTTTTTCCATTTCTTTTGGTCTTGTTTAGTTTTTTTGTGATATTCTATTCTCTGTAGTGCACAAACCCTATCCTTCTGTTGGTAAATTTATTCGTATTTTGTTCTTTTTTATGTGCATAAATGGAACTGGTTTTTTATTTTCACTTTTGGATATAGCTTTGCCTACTTTTAAACTTCATGTAAGTGGATAATTTTGCTATATGCTCTTTTGTGTGTCACTTTTGTTTTGCTCAATACTGTGTCTGTGATATGCATCTATGTTACTCCACTTGGCTATAGTTTATTTATTCTCATTGCCGTATAGTTTTTTGCTGTATTAATATACCATTATTCGTATATTCCACCTTGATGTGCATTTGATTTGCTTCCAGTTTTGAGCTATTTCGAATAATGATACTATTAAAATTCTTGTAAAAGACTTTAGGTGAAAATATTATACCTTTGTTTTGAGGGCATTCCCAGGTGTGAATGTTCAGCTTTTGAAAATGCTGCCAAATCACTTTGCAAAGTGGTTGTAACAATTTACATTTCCATCAGCAGTACTTCAGTTGCTTTTGATACTAAATAAATACTTGTGTTTTTAGGCATTTTTAGGCATTTTAAAAAAAATTATTAATTTTAATTAGTTTCAAGTACACAGTACATTGCTTAAATATAAGTTTAGCAGATATAGATATAGACGTATCTATATAGTTTATAAAATGATCTCCCTAATTGCTCCCTCCCTCCCTTGACCCTCCACCTAGCCAACATATTAATGATAACTGCATGCCCTACGCCGTACTCCCCATCCCTGTGACCATCCATTAGCTACTAATTTGTACTTCTTTAACCCTTCAACCCATTCTCCCAGCCCCTCAACCCTTCTCCCCTCTGTCTGTCACCTAATTGTCCACTATATTTATGAGTCTGGTTTTGATTAGTTTGTTCTTTTTATTCCTTAGATTCCTCATATAAGTGAAATCATATAGTGTTTATCTTTCTCTGATTTAAATACCTTCTAGGTCCATCAAAGCAATATCTTTTTCCATTTCCTTCCTTTTAGTCTGTGTGTGTCTCTTAATTTGAAGTGAGTCTCTAATAGGCAGCATATGTAGTGGTCTTGTTTTCTTATCCTTTCAGCCACTCTATCTTTTGGTTGGAGCACTTAATTCTTTTCCATTTGAGGTACTTGTTGATAAGAATGTAGTTGTTACCATTCTTTATTCCTGTTTCTGATAACATGCTTTTTCTTCTTAAAAACGTCCCTCCAACATTTCCTGTAGTACTGGCTTGGTGGTGATAAATTCCTTTAGCTTATTTTTGTCTGGGAAGCTCTTTATCTGTCCTTCAACTCTAAATGATAGTTTTTCTGGATAAAGTATTCTTGGTTGTAGATCCTGGGTTTTCATCACATCAAATATTTTGTGCCAAATCCTTCTGTCCTGCATGGTTTCTTTTGAGAAATTGGCTGCCAGTCTTATGGGTGTTACCTTGTAGGTAACTGTTTATCTCTTGCTTCTTTTAAGATTTTCTCTTTGTATTTAATCTTTGGAATTTCAATTATGTCTTGGGTGGGCCTCTTTGGGTTCCTGGTTTTGGGGACTCTCTGAGCATCCTGGGGTTTTATGTCTATTTCCTTCACCAGGTTAGGAAAGTTTTCCATCATTATTTCTTCGAATAGCTGTTCAACATCTTGTTTTCTTTCAAGTACCCCTATGACATGAATATTTTTACCTTTAATAGTGTCCCATAGGCTCCTTAAATTATTATTATAGGCTTAGCTTTTTTCTTGCCGTCCTGATTGAGTGTCTTTGGATTTCCCATCCTCTATATAAATCATTTGATCTTCTTTATTCACTTTGTTTATTCCATTTGATATACTTCTCATCTCAGATAATGTGTTCTTCACTTCAGACTGGTTCCCTTTTATAATTTCCATTTTTATGGTTTTTTTATCTCTTTGTTGAAGTTCTCACTGACTTCACCTACACTTCCCTTAAGTTCATTGAGCATCTTTACCATTTTGGCTGCCTTTCTGTGTCTGTTTCTATGTGTTAAGAAAAGCTCCTAAGTCTCTCGGTCCTATTAGTGTGGATTTGTGAAATAGGTGTCCAGTGGCACAGTCCAGAGAGGAGTTCAGCTGCTGGCCAAATTTAGCCCAATCCTCTGCCCCTCCGGTGCCATCTGTTAAGATTCATCAAGCAATTCACAGATGCTGTGCTTATAGTTGCCTCAAAAGTCCACTCCAGAAACCGAGGCCAGCTGGCTCCAGTGTGAATCTAGGCACTGCTCAGTAAGGAACACCTGACTATTTAAGGATACACCTGGATGTAGCTTGGGTGGAGCCATGAGTTGGGGGAAGTTGGGTTTCAGGGAATCCTCTGGGCGGAGTGACCTCTATTATGCAGTTTGATGAGGTCTCAGCTATGGCGGTACTGCGTTCATGCACTGGGACAGGGGAGGACTCAACAGGGAACAATGGATACCACTGGCACTTCTGTACAGGGTGAATCTCACTTGGGCCCTCACTCTGACAGTGTCTCCCTGTAAGTCCCTGGAGCCCACTGTGTGCAGCCGAATCGGCACTGGTGCTCAGAGCGAGCAGGTCCATCACTGTGAAAATCTGCTCGCAGATGTGGCCCGTTTAAGAGGCATCTGCTGCTGCCACTGCTGCAGTCTCTGTCTTACTCAGCCGCTCAGGACCGGGCAGCCCTGTGTCCTCACCCCGTCCTACCTTCTGCTATTGCAGGGTGATTTCTTGGATTTCTCCCTAGTTATATGGTTTGTTCATCAAGATCCCAGGTGATTTTTCCTTGCTGCTTGCTCCTTGTTTCTATCACAACTTTGATTTCGTTGCCAGAGGCATGAACAGAGCCTCTATCATCTACGCCATTGTTTTTTTCCTACTGAGGATGTTTCTTAATCAGTTGTGCCTGCTGCTAAGAAACCCTGCTGTAGACAAAGAGGCCCCTCCTTGAATCTCACTGGATTCTTGAGGAGGTGTAGTATTAAGAAATATAATATCTAATTTTTTAATTTGCATCTTCCTCATGACTAATGATGTTGAACATTATTTTTATTGGCTATTTGGATATTCTCTTTTATATAACATTTATATAAGTCTTTTGCTTGTTTCCATTGAGTTATCTGTCTTTTTCATATTTATTTATAGGAGTTTAAAATTTATATGGATTCGAATAACTTAAATGGTGTGATACTGGCACAACTATAGGAAATTGAGCAGTTGGCCATAATGGACTCTAGAAACAGACCCCATGTGTACCGTGACTTACTTTATGGAAAATACAATTCTGAATTACAGTGAGGGAAATGATGGTCTTTTTGATAAATAGTACTGATTTGATTAACTATGTGGTGTGATTTCCTGATTTACGCCATATATCAATATAAATCTCAGGTGGATGACATATCTAAATATGAAATGTAAAATAATAATGCTTTGCAAAAAAATACAGGAAGATATATTTATAACATTGAGGAAGTGAAAGGTTTCTTAAACTGGACACAAGCACTAACCATAAATTTAAGCAATAATAAATTGGGCCTCATTAACAATAAGAAGTTCTCTTTATGAAAAGACCTACTAAAAAGTGAAAAAGATAAGACAGAAGACATGAGATGCTATTTCCAATTTATATATCTAAAAGAGGACTGTTATTCAGAATTCAAATTATTTTAGATACATTTTGGTAATTTTCAGGATTTTCATTGTAACAGTATATAACTATGTGTTAAAACAGATCTTTGCCTTTATTTGACTGACTTAAAAATCAAGATAAAGTCATATATATACTTACACATTTTAAATAAATCAATTCTTACACATTGTAAATTATTAATCTAAATTCTGTAAGTTTCCAAAATCCAGCATACTCTTTATGATTGAGAATAGAAAAAAACCATTAATATTTAAAATTATATTATTTAGTTTTTTGTTAATTAAATTCAATTATTTTATTATCCTAAGTATTTCTAAACTGTGTATTAAATTTATTTTGCCAAAAGATTCATATGGATACAGTTTTTAGTTTAAAATTTAATTCTATGCATTATGTTTTCAAAACTTACTAGGTCATGTAAAATTGTTAGTTTAAAATAAAAAATAGTTAAAATTGTGATAAAGTTAAAATGACATTTAGAAAATTTAGCCTTGTAATGCTAAGAACCTGCTAAAATGTCACTTAAATTATAAGAAATGAGTGTGTCTATAAAACTGTAAAAATTGTATATATAATTGTTATTTAAAGATGTTATAAAATTTTGATTCTAAAATGCTGGAACCTTTATTATTATATTATACCTGGGTTCTACCTTTTCATCTCAGTAAATACCAATTTATTTAGAACTAGATATTTATCATACAGTTTATTGTGATTTGAAACTTTATTGACTTTCTCCTTTGAATTTAAATTGACTTCGATACTTGAGATTATTTTAGAGAACTAATTTTTATTCCCCCAAACTCTATAAAAAATATTCATTTCTATGCGTCTATTTTCTTAATTCTGGGAAATTGGTAAAAAGACTTCTGTGACAGCTTGTATCATAAGACATTTTTATTTTGTTACTGTTGAATTCACACTGTCAATTTTAATGAATCCTGCCCAATTAAAGTGATGTGCATATCTTTCATGAATCCATAATCAATATAATCAATTACATTTTTACATAATTGCACAGATATAATTTTATCTCAAGATGTTAGAGGATTAATGCATTTTTTAATATGTTGCAGAATTGCGAGAAGCTGGAGAATAATTTTGATGACATCAAGCACACGACTCTTGGTGAGCGAGGAGCTCTCCGAGAAGCAATGAGGTAAGTCTGAGTCACCATAGCAACAGTCACAGATGTGGTAAAGAAAAAGTCATTCTTCATTATTGGGGGAACAAATGAGTTCATTGCCACCATTCAGCTCTGTTCTCTAAGGTATTAATTTGTCAGTAGAGAGACTTCCCTTGAGGCTGTACTTTGGTTTTGAAGCTGCATAAATGTTAAGCCTCAGTGCACAGTAAAAAATGTAAATGTTTAATTTGTTACTTAAAATGCTTAAGGGGTGTCTTGTTTTATATTTATACTAAACTGTGTGATTGAATGGAAATATTGTTCATTTAAATTCTGCTTGTATATAAAAAAATAAACAGTACAATGGTGGTTTAACTCAGTAGTATTTTTTCCTAATTAATATTTAATTTAAAAAGGGGCACTTAAAATTTCATATTATATTAGTTTTTATAGGATTACATTGTCGCATTTTTAAACTGATTTACATTTTCACACTATTATAATGTGTATAGGTTAACTTTTTTCAAAGGCAGTAGTCTATGATGAACCCGATGATTTTTTTTTCGCATTTTAACGTTGCTATTCTTGAATGTGTCTCTGAATTTCTTCCCAAAATTGATGCTTTTTTAATAACTTTTAGGAAGCAGTCTTTAAATCCATCTGATCAGAATAAAGCAAGGCTTTTTACCAGACATTAAATATGTGTGAGAAATAAAAGTCTTTGTCCTTATAGCTATAAAACAACAGCAGCAAATTATATTAACTTAAAAGTTTTGAGTTGAACCTTTGGGATAATTTCCTATATCATTGTACAGAAATAGTATATTTACCTTTATTTAGCCTACGAAATTAAAATTGGTTTTTAAAATATATCTTCTATCAATGCTCATTTTGTTTGGTTCTTAAATCAAGGCCAAACAAAATTTACGATAAGAGAAAGGATAAAGCTAGGAGGTTTCCTAGAAGGATATTTCAGGTACAATTTCGTTATTGCTAGCACACAGTTACCATATACTTTAGTTTAGAAGCTGCTCTCATTTAGCAACCTTCCTTTTACCATGCAAGCAGCAGGGGAAAGTAATTAAATTTAATAGAAACTGCCCTCATTTTGAAGCCACTTCTATTTAAAACCACAGGGGGAGGTAATTAAATTTAATGGAAACAGTAGCTTCTACACAAAGATACATGGTACTTCTGTATAGATGATTATGATGTCACAAAAAGAGGAATAATATATTACTAGTACAGAGAAATTACCAGCTGGAGCAAGTGAGCCTATTTTATTGTTAATGTCTTCACTAATAAAACAAAAAAAGAGGAAAAAATAAAACAGTACTCAATAGAGAATGTGTATCTATATAAAATGTAATCAGACATTCTCAAAGTTGGAATTAATGAAAATAGTAGTAAATTAAAAATAAGGTGTAAAATATATTGAGGAAAAGGTCAGTGCAGAAATTATGAATAAACTGTTTTTCAATATAGTTTTATCCTCTATATAAAACTATCACATTTACAAATTGAACACATCATTTTTGTGAATGCCTGTATAATAACTTTAGATATGTAAGTACGCACACTTATATATATTTAGAAACTATAGTTATTCTCTATATTTTTGTATCTATTCAGTTTAAAGTAGACACCTATACAAAAAGAATAAAAGAATTGAGGGCTAAAATCACAAAGAATTGCAAAGGGGTAGTATGAATAAAAATGGATGTGAGTGAGGGAAATATAATGAACAGAGAAAGGAGACGTAATTAGTATAGAAAATTTATCATTGAGAAAAAACAAATTCAATTATGGGAGAATTGCGTACGAAGAGATTATTAAACTCTGCCAAATTTTTAAATACTTGCCATTTTGGAAAATACCAGGATATTCTGCTTTTAAAAAAGTAGAGATGAACTAATGAGAGAAACAAGTATTACCTGGTTGGCGTAACCTTTCTACCACCACGCTATGAGATAAAGCAGTAGTCTAGATAATTTCAATCAGCATTTAATTATATGGCTGTGTAATGTACTTTGTTTACGTAGTTTGCATATATTACACACACATATTATTGGTAATGTTTCCATTCACTAAACGCAATTAAATAATTTAGTAACTAAAGCATTTAACAATTTAGTATACTATTTAACAATTTAGTGTACTCTGTTTTTGTTTTCTACCTTTCACATGTAAGATTATGGAAACATGTCAACAAAAAGTTATAAAGCCATGTGACTAATAGAATAATAGGAGAATGCACGAAGAGGCAACAATTAATTATTTTCTCATTTATGATCAATTTTTACCTCACACAAAGGGTGTCTGGATCAGAGAAAACCATGGAGAGGATGAGAAATTTGATTTGATCTAGGCCTTGAAAGATGGCCAGTTTTGCAGGTGAAGGGAATAGTATTGGGCAAAGGTATAGAGGCATACAGGTGCAAGGTAGAATTCAGGAACAGTAAGTGGTCTGATGTAAAGCAAAAATTTTCAAGCTTTTTTGAATATATTGTTTTCCCACAAAACTCACATAGGCAGATTTTTTTAGTCAGTGATATCTCTTCTTATATGCCGAGAATCTCTGGGTGGAAATGGAGCAATAGGAGGTTGGCAAGGATAATGGGAGAAATTCAGAATCTCAGAGTATGAGGGGGGACAGTGGGAGACAGGTATGAATAATTTGCCAAAACCTCAGTGAGCACATGGGCTGGTCTCAGGAGGCTGGCTAGAAATTTGTGTTACCATATTCTGGAGGCCAGTTACCTAACATCTAGTTTGCCATGAAAAAAAATTTAAATTGTTTCAGGGAGTCATTGTGGTTTTTAACAAAAAGGGTGACGAGATTAAATA